TATAATTATCGATAAAGTTTATAAATTTTAATATTATAATTTATAAAAAAATGATAAGAGTTTAATCTATTGATCTAAAAACGGACCAACTAAACCAATTTTTTATTTGGTTGGTTTGATCTTCTTTTATATTTAGTCAATTTTTTAAAAATGCTTTATTCATTTAGTCTTTTAAGTATAGTGAACCAAACTACCAAATTTACCTATTTGCACACCTCTACCCACACTTCAATATATTTAGAAAATTCGAAACATACAAGAATTTTGCAGAGATATTAATTATCTAGGCAACTTACGTCCAACTATGTCTAATTCTGTCAATAGAAAAGAATTATGTATAATTAAAAAAAATTCTATGATTTAAGATGGAATGAATTTGTTTTTTGAACTTTAAAATTTGATATCGTTTTCAATATTAATAATATAATAAAAATCAGACAATATTAAATAAAAAATAACAAAAATTTAATACAATATTAAATTTAAAATTTCCGGTGGCAAATTTATTGTAACTAAAATCACAGAATATATTTCTGTAATTTATCGTGTACGCCCGTATAAGTTTGTTATTTAACATAACATATTTACTTAAGGCGTACATCTGCTAATAAATTCCATGAGGTAAACTAATTTTGTTCGAACGTTCTGTGTTTAGCCTTGTCCTTTTCCAAAAATTACGTAACCTTCTCTTTCTGCTGACGGAATTTTGCAAAGGGGCATATAGTTGTTAAGCTTTAATAATTTAGAGAAGATAGCTACAGGAGACAGTTGAGCTAAGGTGAAAAGCATGGCCACCTCGGTTTGAACACAAGAATGAAAATCTCATACATTTTATCCTGAAAAGCAACGGGGATTATAGTGAAGGTTTTTCCATCAGGCCAAGAAGGAAACTCATGACAGCCACAATCTAGTTTGGAACAGCGTCCAGCTTCCAGCAAAGAAGTATGCAAAATCTGATTTGAAAAGCATTACCGTTTTACTTGACAGGACCACGCAGTTTTGTCTGTAATGAACCACGACCCACCAGATTGCAATGTCTGACCTTCTTATACACTCAAAGACATCGCATGAGCATACCGCACATGGCATTGTCTTGCTTCTGCCTCTTCGCTTGAATCAGGCTCTGATGGGCATTCTAGGCTAAGCCGGCCTTAGTTTTTCTGGTTTTTGACTGATCGCCAAGCTGTTCATGGGATTGGTTCAATGCCAGATCTTAGCCAAAAGGCTGAGAAAGGTATAACAAATGTAAACATTTTGATGGAATCTTCGATGATCAATGCAACACCTAATCATGATCTCTCATTTCTTAGGGAAAAAATGGGTTGAATGATTGCAAAAACTGATTGGTGATTGACCAGACATTTTAAACATGTTTAATTTAAATCGAATTCAGAGTAAGGTAATTGAATATTTGACAACTTATTTCCTGAGAATCCCTTTTCAACAAACTGGTTAAAGCGTTTAATAGAGTTCTGACAGATGGATTTAGCCTAATCAGTTCGCCTAATACAGGAATAGAATCAGTCCCCTGATAAGATACAGTCTTCACTTCGGGCTTGATAGCAATGGATCACCCCATTGAGTTACTGTTATTTTGACATAGAAATCACAAGAAAATGAAGGTGGGGAAAGCAACTTGATCAATTCTGAATCTTCTAACTTCTAAATATTGCCAAAAGTTTGTGCTTTATCAAGCAAAAGAGACATGAACATCTAAGGAATGAAAATAAAAATGAGAAAGAGCGATTATCACACATCTAAATTTAAACTAACCATATTTTTACATTCAAAGGCATACTTACTTTAGAAATATATTTGTAATTACAAGTTATGTATCAGCTGCCTTCTTCGCAAAAATGGTAGTACTTCTCAATATAGAGACAGGCTCCATGGATTATTACCCCCGTTTTGAATGCAAAGACGAAACGGATTTCCACAAGGCAATGACAAGGGCGGAAAGGAGCAGTGTGTAGTGATCTTGAATTGTTTCAGTTGCCTATACAGTTGATCTCTTGTGAGTCAACGACATTATAGTACAGAGAAGAATTTTTATCATCAAATCTAGAAGCCAATTGATGTACAGACAATCCACAATAGCGCTTCCCCAGGCGGGCAATGCAGATGTCAATGACTTTCTTGAACATGCAATCTTCTTGAATCAGTGGTTGCTCCACAAACTCAACTAAAGGCATCCACTGCACGATTGCCAATTGACAAAATTAATATTTAATTAGCCAACAACTATTCTCGATAATATTATATATATAGGAGGAAGAAGATTAAACAGAATCTGATGTGTTTCATCATCTGTTGAAAGACTTTAGTGGTTCAAAGAGAAGAAAGACGTCTTTTGAATCAGTATATTACCCCCCAAAATAGTAACAGGTGAGAGAGGCAAGATGACAATCATAATCTGAGTTGGTACTTACCTTGGCTGCTTCAATTTCATTATCATCAACCATAATCTGAGTTGATAGTGGTTTTAGCATGCAGATGAAAAACAAATCTGACTTTTCAAAGGCCACATTGTGCACATGCCTGGGGTGGAGTTACAAGCAAGTATCAGTAATCAAAATATCACAAATTTACTGCATGCAGTAGGACTTGCTATACAAAAATTCTTTGGACAGAGGTGGTGACTTTTGAAAAATCAGTTCTATTATGTTACCTGAATGCTACTACTTCCACAAACTCAGTGTCAATCTGCAATGTGGAACAAGTGCAGCTAGTATTAATACATTAGCCCCATTAGACAAATTTGAACTCTCTGAACTGAGAGTAAGTTACTGATAACAATACGATTGAAATAGAATCTTAGAGGCAATGTACCAAGCAAAATATACTTACCCCAGTTTCTTCCTTGACTTCTCTTACAGCTCCAGTAAAAATCTCCTCTGACTGTCATACCAAACAAAACTTAATTAATTGAAAGATTCAGCCGTTTATAACCAAAGAAAAAAAAGGTTGGAATTTTCTTCTTTGATCTAAAACTTTCATTAGGACAATTCAAACCAAATAATATACCTCAACAATGAAACCGGTTGGTATTTTCCAAAGCTCAACAAATGCTGGAGCACAGTATTTCTCTTGTACTACAAGAACCTGTAATAGATCGTTGCAAATACTTGCATTAGAATTTAACTTATGGGTTTTTAGTGCTTGTAAAACTTTATACAAGAAACTTAAGAAAATGGAAGGTCCATGTTATTAAAGTAATATAAAAAACTCAATCAAATTGGTTTTGTATATCGTCTGCTTTTTCTTTACAAGGAAAGGATGTGCAAAGCCATTAAATATATCAGCATGGCATCAGTTTGATTGAGGTATTTTACCTTATTATTAAAAGTGTCTATTTCAAAAGCTAATGGACTCGTTTGAAATTTTGACTGAAACTTAAAAAAATTGAGGTATTTTACCTTATTATTATTATTGTGATAGTATTATCTTTATAATAAACTACAGAAGCAGCACTAAAGCAGCTCATGAAAATTGTCCTAGATGTAAACTATATGGAATATCTCGGGATCGGATACAATACATATTCTTGCCACTTTAAAATAGATAGCTCAAACATGGTTCTCTCTTCTCTTTCATATCAACTCAACCTCAACCAGCCCACATACCTCATTTTTGTCATTGATGACAAATCCTCCAACCCCTACTTGATGTGAAGCATTAGCAGGAAGCATGCTGGGTCCTTCAGGTAGCCAGTAAGTTAACATTACATATCCTCTCTCTGCGTGATGATATTCAAATCCTTCCTGCATCGGGGTTGCTAATATCAGAGATCATTGAAGAGTGAATTGAATGCAAAAGTATGGGAGGGAAGACCTTTTCCTTCTTCCCTGAACATTTTGTCAACTCATGCAACCTAGTTGCTAATTGCCAAACCCTGGAAAATTGATTTCACTTCTACTTTCAATTTGAGAGAAAAGGAAGGAGTAATTCAGTGAAGCCAGTGAAATGCATGCGCAGGCTTTAGTATCTGGAATTACCTTGACAGCAACTGGAACAAGATCTGACTTTTCCACTGGCAACTTCAGCCAAATTCCCTTCTTTTCCTGCAGTTTGATGACATAAGATCAGAGTGATCACAAATCTCATGAACTATAGAAGAACTGAAATTTGTCCCTACGGGCACAACAAATTTTTGTGGTTTAGCGAGATGAAATCCTAAATCAATTTCAAAGCCGATCGTAACTTTAGTTATAAACAAGATATTTACTCTTATGTTATGCCATCGAAGAGTTGCTATGTGAATATACAGTGGACTATGGCTAAAGGCAAAAACCAGTTTCATGGGAGAGAAATTTGTAATTAACTAAGATGAGTTAAAAACGAACAAATTTTCTTCAAGATGATGAACAAAAAGCATACCTGAATTTGAAAAATCATAGACAGGGATAATTAATTACCTTCGCCTTCCAGTGAGAAAGTGAGAAACGAAGCATGGATGCAAAGACATTTGGATTAGCGGGTAATCTTTCTGTATCAACAATGACTCCACCATACTCATCATCAAAGGCATAGAGTATTCTCATATTCCTGGTGAACAAACTTGAATTTGATCCATTAATCTGATATAGTAAATTCCCTGCTCCAAGTTTTTCTTGCTCAACGGAACTGAGAGCTTTCTTTGGCACATATGTGTTGTTCGGGGTACTTGAATAAGAAGCCTTCGGAGATATACCTGGAAACAAGTATGATGGGGGGAAAAAGAGAAACAAATCATTAAAACCAGAACTTTCCAATCAATGGCATCTTACATTAAAGAGTGAGATAAGATGATGGTTTTCTTTAGACCTGGGAAAGAATGTTGGTTTGGTAGGTTAGTTAAATCGTTGATGCTCAAATTTCATCTGGTGATACGTACTAGCTTAAACATACAGCAAAAGCTTATGTCTGAAAATGCAGAAACTACTAATGAAGAACCAAGAACACAAGGAATGGCCTCTTGTTTGATGATTAAACATATTCATTGGGGCATTTCTTAGTTTCCACATATTTTTTTGGTTTCTTTGTTCAATTAACTACGAACAAACCACTTCTAACAGAATCAGAATCTTAAAACAGGACGACTAATCCGGAAGTTTATGTTTATGAACCGAACCAAAAAAACTCTGTTTTACTATTGCAGAAAGCAGAAAGGAAAAGAAAGAAAAGAAAAAGAAAACTCAGAATTCTGAACAAGGGAGCAACAATATTGACTTGACTGACAAACTGCCAGCTGATTCAAGCAGTAGAATTACCTCTGCTAAAACAGAACTGCGGGGTGGACTTAGCATCAACCAATGGCCTGAAACTCAACAACTGGCTTGAATATGTCCTCTCCATGTATGCTATCTCGGACATTGGCATAGACTTGCAACTAAAAAAGCTGCCCTCCATTTGCAACAGTATCTAAAACTCCCAACTACTCCAGTTTTAGACGACTGCCACAACCCCACTGGTTAACAATATCAACTGCTTAATATATAAATATCCCCAGATGTAAAACAAATAATTGTACCTATCAGAGCAGTCTTGATTCCTGAAAACAAGAAAGAGTTCTAGAATTTAACGCTGGGCCGGGGGAACGGATTGACCAAAGAGATTGCATGAGAAACTAAACACTTTGGAAATGCAATGAGGGGAGAAAACAAACACATGAAGCATGAGGATTAGAATCCTTGAACAAGTTTTAATGGTGGAGACAAGCCATATAAGCCATGACTAAGCCTACATACCTTTATCCAATTAAGCAAAAGATTAAGAAATTAATTCGAGTGATGTGTTGCTGAATTTGTGGTGTGAAATGGGTGTTGAGTGATGATGACACGCAAGGAGAGACGCTGCTTTAAAAGGATCTCCAATTCATTCACAGCTAAAATGAAGAAAACGAGGGAAGTAACTAAATCTTTAAAATTGTTATGTGGGAATGAAATAAAAAAAAATAGAAAAGTGGGATTTTTTTTTTCGTACACGCCTTAGGGGAGCGTGGGAGGCTGCTGCTTAAGTCAACAAGCGAAATTTCTTCTATCGAAGCAAAAACAAAAAAAAATATTATAGAATTTGAATTTGCTTATCTCTAATTTCTCTAGCTTAATTATCTAAAAAGAGTTAATAAAAAATTATACACTTAATAGTAACATGTCTTAATTGTACTTTGATATCAACTCTGACAAGTGACGACCCTTTTAATTATATGATAATGGTGCCTTACAACATTATTGATGTCGCTAATCCCCCAATAGATTGAGTGCAATCATAAAATCATATTAATGCTTCATAATTATAAGATAACAAACTTTTTTCACTTTCAAATAATAGGCTAGACTAAATAATGTATTCATTGATTTTTCATTCATGCCTTTTCCTTTACTTTACTCTATTCTTCTCTTGATTAATTTCTATTAATTTTGAAAAATATATTTTTTCTCTTTTAATTAAAATGATTTTATTAGACAGCATTTATAATCATGAAAAGAATAATTCAAAAGGTACATAAATTAATAAGTTTACATTACGAAATGTATAATAGATTTTTTTTATAAAATAAAGTATTTCATGTAATTAAATGTTTATAAAATTTTCTTATATAAAAAATTTTGCTATTTCTAAAAAAAAATTATTAAAAAATATTTTTATTTTAAAAAAATTAAATAATTTTTATGAATTCCACGGTCTCGCCTCCGATTCCAAAATAAAATATTTGATTCAAAGTTGATTCTCGCGTGACGTGCACATCCTTGTCGAGCGTGGCAAACCACAGTGGTAGCTTCCCCCTTTTTTTGGCCTTTAATATTTTTCCTTGCTGAGCAAATATTGCGTGGATGGCATTATACCATGTGAGTTTCAGATGTCTGGCCACGGCTTTTGACAGAAATGTTGAATTCTTGTCTTCTGCTCTGCTGGGTATAGTACAACGAAGTTTTGGTCCCATGCTGCTGGGGAACATGTTAATATCATAACATAACCTCCTTTTAGCCATCCCATCGTACGATGAAAAAGAGTCTGGATTCTGGACCATCCACTAAGCGCATCACAACTCTCTCATCAAAAGGTTAGACATTAATCTAAGGTGAAGATACATTGAATTGCAGCATATGATTTCCTGGAGGTCTTATTAATTAATTAAATTATCATGGGAATAATTAAGTTGGGTTATAATTTTTGGATATGGTTTTTGGTTGACGTCCACGTGTAATCAAGGATAACAACGTCATTTTCGGTCACCCGTTTCTATCCTATCAAAGCTGGTGATGGCCCAGCCCTAATCAATTAGTAGTTTTACATGTTGAACAGACATTAAATTAGTAAATTATCACAATATTTATGATTCTCATCTCATAATTGCGTTAATTATAATTAAAAGGCTAGTACTAATTAAGGTTTTGCTAACCTTGAGCATTAATTTATCCACGGCATAAGGGAGAAGGCATGCAAAGGGACTGACTGTTGTTTTAGAAGCTATAACTCACATGTATCACGTTCATTGTGCAAGTATCAAACAGTGGATCAGTCTAGGGGGAGACCGGGACCAGCTTACCGAACTATTTGCATTATTTTTTAAGAAGGGAGGAAAAACGAATTAGATGGATCTTTAGATTTATATAATTTCATTATATTATATAAATTTTTAATAATATTGTAAATAAAATGTAGGTATAAAAATTATATATATTAATAAAGATGGTATTTTTTATATTAATGCTAAATAGAAAAAATATTAGTAAAATTTTAAAAATAATATATTTTTAATATGTTACTACATAACAAGACGCATTATTTAAATAAAATTGTAATTGATGTCGAAAAATCGTAATGTAGTGATTAACTTGATAGGTCCTTTCCATCACTACTCGTTTGACTCATAAAAGGATAATCTAATTCTTTTGTAGTTTTTTTCAAGAGATCACTTATGAATAATAAATATTATTTTTCAATATTATTTTTCATTAAAAAAAAAGAAAACTTGGTGTGGGGAAATGGTTATTTTCCATAACAAGAGACAATTGAATCCACGCATGACCCAACTATTTTTGCCATCAAAATGGTTAACGTATGCATCAAATTAATTCACTTACCCAAATTTCAAGTAGTCTGTTTTTAGGGATAGGATCCAAAAATTTGTATGTCACCCAACAATTTTTAGAAAGCAAAATAGAAGGAAGTGGCGACAAACTTTAAAGAGAAATTGGCATTGCTGGAGTAATTGAGGAAAGAGTGTGATTGAAGAATGCCATAACTACAGCTTTCTGCTCTCTTTCTTTTTGTTTTTTATCTTGCCTTTTAACTGAGAATCCAGGTAGCTAACTGATCTTTGTCATGTTCATGCAAACTAGAATGATATCTACACCAATTTAGCTCAATTATGGGTGAACTTAATACAAATATGCTTTCTTCTGGTTGGATATCTTTCTAAACATGTTTTCTGCCTAACCATCTACTCATTCTGCTGCCAAATTCATTACAGACAGAAATTAATAATCAAAGATAATTAGGATGCCTTAGTCGATTGAAATCTACTTTTCAGATTTGTCAAGGGCTAGCCCAAAGGTAGCGGGGTCAGAAGCTCGGGAACATTTTTCAATAAAAGGAGAAAAAAAAAGTGTGGTCAAGAACCCAAGGTGATGAAAATGGCCTGTAGGTAAAATCCAATTTGGACGGGCTGGTATGGGTTGAGACCCAGAGACTTTTGGGAGGCCTTGGACACGACCAAAGCCCGAAGATGTTAGCTTGGTCAACCCAATAGTCAGAATTTCATCAGTTGAAAAGGCCATTCAGACATTCGTTGACCCTTTTCTTTTTCCTGGTCATGCTTTCATTTGTTCTTTAATCTTTCTCGAGTAGGAGTTCATGTCAAAATTATGAGAAGAACAATCTAACAACTGTAGTAAAGTATAGCAGACAAGTAATTTTGTGAAGGCAGTGTAGATGATGAAATTGGCATTAAAGGCTCTTATTGATAGTTCATATGGAATCATTAAGGAATATTAGTCCCCACTATGGATATTAAGGCTCGAAAGGGGTTGGTGGGCGACTCATGGGTGAATACATCTCAAGCAAAGAGATTAAAAAAAAAAGGAAAGGCAAAAAGAAGGGAGCATTTGACATCGGAAACGCCATTCAGAGTACCCCTCACACCGTGTAATGTTGGTTGACATCGATATCCAAACCTCTCAACTTTGCGAAGGACTCGACTCTGCCTTTCAAGGTATGAAGTTCCCGTAATCTGCATGACATGAAAAAGAAATATTGGAATTAGTTTCAGATGAGCAACTCAAATATATATGTCGGTTAAATTGAATGTGAACAAGGAATGCAGCTGGAAGTAGGTGAAATCGTCAATTTCTTGAATCGGTTTAATAGTCTTTATGGATGGTAGAGTTCTCTCAAGAAAGGGAAGATACCTTGCAATCTCTGCACGCCTTTTGGCTTCTTCTGCCATGACACTGATGTCCCTAAAAGTGTGCTTTTCAGAGAAGATCTTTGGGTCCGAAGACCGTAGGCCATGGCGCGTTCGCTGATCAGCCGCCCATGCAGCCTCACGAGCCTCCTTACCAAAGTCCTTTTGAGTGTTGAATGCCGTCTGGTAAATTGAATAGCAAAGAATGCATGTCAACCATGTGCAACTTTTTTGTAGGAAACGAATCAGACATTATAATTCAATCGGAACTGTGAATTTTTTGTGAGGGAAGTGTTGTGCACTTACCCTTTTGTTAAGCACAAGATCCCAGGCTCTACCACTGAGTGCATATCGAACTGCAAACTTGATGGGATCAAGCAGTGCATAGGTTACAATATTGTAGAGCCAAATAACGCCTGACCATCCCCATCCAATAGCTTTAATTCCAGCGAAACCCCATGACGCATGAGCAGAAATAGCAGTTGCTACCTGTATAGGACAACCCTCACTGGTTTATAACTAAAGATCAAACTATCATCTAAGATTTGGAAATTAAGACAGTAGCATACTGCTCTACTCCAAGTGTGTACCAGATTCTATGCTGTCATAAAAATCATTCCATCTTGTGTACCATATTGTTACTGTAATATTAAAGCCATCTGTCTTGGGAGCACTTAAGCAGTTATTGTTCCTTTCATTATCCACTATAACAACATAACTAAAGTTTCCAGTTAACTTACTAGTTGGGCAATGATAAAAGCAGTAACAAGAAGAAGACCGGGCCTCTCCATGAATGACCATCCTTGGGAGCGAGTCACGAATATTAGAGCCTGGCTGATGGTGCTAACTTGGAGGTACACTGCAGATGCCAACTGTGCATTTAAATGATCCCTGACACCCTTATCTGTAAGATTAAAGTTGTTTTTGTAGAAGCTTCTTACGCGAAATTTATCCTGAGGTACAAAGGAGAGAGAATTAACACATATACCTTTACCCTTAGGCATAATTCACTTACCAGAACCAGAATGGAGTTCAACTGTATTACCAAATCAATTTACATTGATTGCTCTTTCGCAGCTCTAGTTGCAACTCATTCTAGGTTCATTAAATCTTCATCTTTACAAAAGAATATTAGAAAAGAAGGAGATCAAACAAAAATTTGCATTTACTGGAAAGAAATCAGTTTCATAGGCTGCCCAGAAGAATATAATGGTCATTAAACCCAGGTAGCTGCCTAAAACAATCCCAGTAGCAAAAATTTCTTTGAGCTTCCAACTGTCAGGAACTGGTGATGGCTTGACCCTGTCTTTGGATATTGTCATAATGGTACCTGGAAACAAGAGCATCACTCCGTAAATTAAAAAATGGATTAAGAATTCATGTGAATGGAAACATTATTAAAGATGAATGCTAATAACTGCCACGTGCAAGACAAGATCCTACAAGAAGAGTACCCTCTTACCATCATTAAGAATGGCAATGATTAGGACCATGAAAGGAGGGAAATTGAACTTCCAGATCACAGTAAGCAGCATAAACCCTAACTGCAAGATGAAAACCAATTTCCAGTTAGAAGGGGCTACAGTAGTTAGAACAGATGGTTTGTTCAGGATCGAAAGGGAAAATGGGACTATATTAGTTGAAAGCGATTCCTCTAACGCCATTCTCTGGACGAGGGACCATAGCAAAGTTCCTTGGCATATGAAACTAATCTCCAATACCATCGAAACTCTTCAAAATCCATCAGGAGAGTCACCTTCAATCATATCAACCGGGAAATTAACTCAATAGCTGACAAGTCTTACAAAAGCCGGGATCTTGCGACCTGACAACTTCATTACCTTCTTTGAGCCACCAGGATGAGATCTCTGCTCTGTAGCTTAGCATGGGTCTGCTGTTTATAGAATTTATCAATTGGACTTCCCTTGCCTCGTAGGATAGTTACTAGAATGCATTAATGTTTCACTTTCTTAGTTCACACATCAGATTACTTCTTATGCTTGCCAATCCTCGTATGTGAGGATTCTTTTGCTTCTTTTGAAAGCTGTACAACTTGTTATATCTCTTTAAGATACTTAAAATGGGAAAAAGCATATTGGGACTTACCACTATACGTATTGTGATGGATACTGCATATATCTGGAAAAAGGAGAATACAAAGTGAGAAACAGGAAAGCTTTGAGGTTAATTCCAATTCCTAGTGTTTAAAACGAAATTCTCATTTTACCGTGTAATTCTTCATTCTCTGAAAGATTGCACGGCTCGTTAAAACAGCACTAATGATCACACTCAAACCAGGTTCTGTCAAAACAATATCAGAAGCACTTCTAGCGGCATCTGTGGAATCTGCAACAGCAATCCCTATGTCTGCTTTCTTTAATGCGGGTGCATCATTGACCCCATCACCCGTCATTCCAACTATGTGTTTTTTAGCTTGAAGTCTTTTCACAATCTCAAACTTGTGCTCTACATTAAATATGGAATCAGATACATGGAACGCAAAAGCATATTTATAGAGCTCAGAAATAATAGCAAATATATTTACCAGGGAAAACTCCAGCAAATCCATCAGCATTCTCAATAAGTTCATCAATTGGTAAAGCACCAAGTGCTTCATTCTTATTGTCACCAAGCAGAGATGATGAAGGATACATGTTTGTGCCCATCCCAAGTCTTCTTCCTGTCTCCTTAGCAATTGCCAGTTGGTCACCTGGGACAAGAACCATAAGTTTCCTGTCTCCTTGAGGGAAACACACTCTATGGGAAATGCCAAAGGTCTCAAGTGGAGATCATACTCCAGAAGAGTTATTCTATGGCAGGGAAGGAAAAATGGTTAATCAGACATAATGAACACCTGTTATCATCTTAACACTGACACCAAGATCCAGGGCTCTTCGAATGGTCTCAGCACTGTCATGGCGGGGAGGATCAAATAAAGGCAGAAGACCAACAAATTCCCAGGGTCCTCCAGCACTATCTTTATTACCAGCAGGCACTTCCTAAATAAAATAATTGCACTTCTTCCATTATCTCAATAAAGGAGTGATATCCTAAGATAATATAGTGATAGTAAAAGCTTTGATACCTGTCGAGCAACTGCAAGGGATCGAAGTCCACGGTCAGCAAATTTATCAATTATGGAATGAACTTTGTTTTTGATATCTGATTTATTCCAGGCCAGATTGAGTATCTACAAGATGCACATGGAAGGGGCCAATGACTAATGAGTTTCAGACAACCTTATGTGATGCAGTGTCAGAAAACAGAAACTTTGGTTTATTAGTAGTATGGTTTGTACCTGCTCTGGTGCACCTTTGCTGACTCTATGCAACTTACCAGCCTCATCAAGGTAAGTAAGGGCCGTTCTCTTATCAGTTGGATTGAAGGGAAGGAAGTGAACCTCTGTGATTCCAGCTCGTGCCTTACAATAAACAACAGAATAAATTCAACTTACTAGAGATGTAAATGTGGAGAATATATAAGATATTGGAATGAGAGTTTCAACAGTTTTTTTTGAAAAGTAATAAGTTTCATTCAACCAGGGAGAATATAAGAAATTGGAATGAGAGTTTCAACAGTTAGGGAAGCATTTCAGTTTAGGGAGTTAAAATTCCATAGCAATGCCACAAAGATATAATACTACCATCATACTTCTTAATGATTTTTACTCATAAATTTCAAGAAGTTGTCCTATATAACCAAGCCTCCACCTCAAGGAGGAAATTGTCAAGGGTTTGAAAAATCAACTGTATATTCCAAATGAGATTGCTGACTGATGAACTTGTTCTTCCATCTTGTTCTTAATATTTCAACTTATAAAAGACCATCTCTAAAACCCTTCTATTTCCCACAGTTATGATTTTTGAAACTGTTTTTCTTCATTGCAAAAGAGCAGCCAATTGAATATGCACAATAATTCTTGATTTTACTTTTCATCACAGAAATCCCATAACCAAAGATGTAACCCACCAACTATGATCTTATGCAGCCACAGAGTGAAACTGTGAGAATTATTGTACAAGAAGGAAAAATCGAAGTAGAAACTATCTTTAATTAAATCAGATTATAGATATGCTACCTCCTTAGGATCGCCCAACATTGCAACAATTGCAGCATCTATAGCATCTTGATTCTCCAACCTTGAAGCTCTTGCTGCCATCAAAACTACCATATCCTTGTCAACATTGTTGACAAAAACCTATATAATGAAGTAGATCATTAAGTTTCAACTTTGTAGCAGGTATTGACAGATCTTGAACTGTCAGTTCTCTGAAGAACAAAATTAAATGAGTAAATTCTACATAACAAGAATATTAACCCTTTTCTTCTCAAAAAAAAAAAAAAAAACAGTGTAAACCTTAGGCTGTAGCTCTTATAAATAGAAACTTAAGCACAAACTAGTAGAAAAGAATTGGAACAATTTTGTATATCTTCAGGAAAACAACATATCCAAAAACATTTTCTGAATAGAAGATCTATCATTTATTTCTAAGAGCCAGTGGGAAACTAGTATTGTGAAGTTTGAACCTTGAATGAATATATGCCTTAAGCTACACATAAGCACTACCCCTATAGTTACTTGCTGTGTCACCAATACAGAGTGATCCAAAGTCTCACCTCTATCAAATTTTTGTCCACTGTAAGTTTGTTGAGAGTCAGTGTGCCTGTTTTGTCACTGCAAAGCACATCCATTCCTGCCATTTCCTCGATAGCTGTCATTCTCTTTGTTATGGCGCCCTGTTCAGAAAGTTGGGTCGCAAGTTAAGTTAATCTTGTTATTGCAATTATGGAAAAGGCAATTCAATAAATAAAAAATTATAGACTTGTGGACCTGTTGAGATAAGCGATGAGAGCCAATAGCCATGGTGACAGAAAGAACAGTGGGCATAGCAATTGGGATACCACCAATAAGTATAACAAGCAAGTTATCTATACCAGTTCGATAAGCCCTATGGTGAATGCCATATATAACAATGAGTTCAATCACCATCCCAATGGCAATGGAGCATATACAGAAGTTTCCAATAGCAGTTAAGACCTGAAATTAGCCACCAGTCAGCATGATGCCTCAGTATATGGCACAATTAGTAATCTCAAAACTTTAAATGAAATGACCTCCCTCTCATGTAGGGTTTAACATTCACAAAACATGTAAGGATAAAACGAAGTTTCAATGTGAACCTGTTGAAAGTGCCCAACATGTGTTGTGGTTTCCACAAGATGAGCTGCCTTCCCAAAGAAAGTGTGTACACCAGTTGCAATAACAACTGCTTCAATTTCACCTTGTTTACATGTTGAGCCTGAGTAAACTCCATGACCGGGATGTTTTGTCACTGGTAGAGACTCTCCCGTAAGAGCTGACTGCAAAAAAAGAAGTACAGATTACTTAGACCATAGGTTAGAGTTAGCAGCAATCGATGGACTTTAGCAAATCACTATTCTTGAAAACTCTCAAGTTCTGAACCTGTCATTTGTAATTATCTCAAAAATATAAAGAGAGCGTACACCATATGTTGCTGAAATTGTTCAAAGAGTTGATGTTTTCTTTTTGGGCCAATAATTGACATAACATCATTTATTTAGGGGGAAGAACAAAAAATCCAAATCATTCAAAGTTCTATTGATATACCTGATCGATTTTCAGTGGATCTCCTTGAAGCAAACGAGCATCAGCAGGAATAATGTCTCCTAGCTTGATACTAATAATATCTCCAGGAACCAACACAGAAGCATCCTCTTCGCTCCATTTCCCATCACGTAAAACCTGATTAAGCCAATTAAATTCCAATGCATCCAAGGAAAAGAAAAAATTTGACAGATATGGTGGATGACAAGGAGAAAACAATGCATCCAAGAAATCTAAGCTAGATAGCCAGGGGAAGAACCTTTGCTTTTGGAGCCAGGCGAGCCATAAGGGCTGCAGCAGCATTTCCTGCATTGTTTTCTTCTATGAAACTGATTGTTGAATTGATTATAAGCAGTGCAAGAATGCCAACAAAATCATGGTAATCTATATCCTTTCCCTGCAGATAGAGAGTGCTTCAGTCATTTATTATGATCAAATCAAGGTTTCAGGCATTCAGTTTCAGTGCAAATTCATTTCCTGAAGAGGATTATGGACTTACGCCGCCATGTGCAAGAGAGATAGCCATAAGTGCAGCTGCTTCCATAACCCATGAGAGAGGATTCCACATAAATCCCAAAAATTTCAGGATTTTATTTTCCTGTGCATGAGATGCAGACCAAAACTCAGTACAAAGGAACCTATAATCGAAGATATTGTATTCTGAAACCTAGGCCAAGGTTTACAATAAAAAGAAGATTACTTTTTTCTCTTCAAGTTTGTTGTAGCCAAAAAGGTCCAACCGTTTCTGAACCTCATCAGAGCTTAAACCTCCTTCTGTGCATTTCAGCTTTTCAAAAACCTCTTCAACAGGGATGTTCTCCTGCAGGAAGCACCTCCCAGTTTAGCATCAAAAGGGAACTTCCAAAATCTAAATACATTTTCTATCAAATATTAACTACTGCAAGAAAATCAAACGGCTTCTATCTCTTCAAACATAATCATGCATCAATCTAGATCACTAGTTAACCTGCCTGAGTCTAGCCAAAACAGATTGTCTTTAACTATCTACTAAAATTTTCTTGTTTTTCCCATGTTTCCTGTGCTAAAGAACAAAGAAATAAATAACTATATATATTAGGCTCTAGGTTTTTGACAGAGACTGCAAGAAATGTACCAGATCAATAATTTCCTTGCTAACAGCTTCAAGGGCAGCTGCTGTTTTGTCCATGTCCATTGCAGTTCTCTTTTTTCACCTCCCAACCCTCAAAGCAAATAATCTGCCAAATAAAGAACATTCCATATGATCAATTCACGTCTTTCTCTTCTAAAAGAAAACAAAGGAACAAAAACCTATCATTGCACTTAATTTATCACTCCAACCATTAGAAGTTGCTTGAGTCATTCATGATATCTAAAAAAAAAAATTCCTCCATTTATAATTTCTTGTTCTTGGATTTCACACTGAAGATTTTAGATTTTCCTATCTTTCTGCCTTTTTTCCTAGCAACAATGTTGTAAATATAGATGAACTGCAAAACTTCACATGCAGTTCATTGAAAAACAGAGACTAATTTCATGTTATAAAATCATTGAAAAACGGAGAGATTAACATAGAAATCCTCTATTCCTGTTTCTGTTTTTGTTTTTTTATGTGTTTGAGAAAAGCATGTCTACAAAATCTAGTTATGTCAAGTTAAGAGTACTCTCAAATTGCAAAAACATATTATAGATCATACTAACTAACCAAACTCATTTACAACTAACTTTTTAATGCATAACGTTAGCAATATTCATCAACAAAACCAACAGAGACTTCAAACATACATAAAGACGAAAACCCACATTTTGATTAACTAGTACCTATCAAGAACTGGAGCAAGTTCTTGCCTTGTTTTACATGAAACTGACTCAAAGATGGAAGCCAGAGAATTGCGAGAGGGAGTAGTGTTTGAGAAAACAAGAAATGATTTGGTATATATAGAAATTGTCACCAAAGAAACAAGATACAATGCAATCGAATAGCAATGAAGTAAATAAGAGCGGAGAGGTCGAGACAAAAACATGGCCTCTACAAGTCCGTCGCCAGCATTTGCATAGCAAAGTTAAAACTAGTTGTTTCCAAAGATATGTAACTGCGAAGGTAATGACTTTGACACAATAATGATTGGATGCATTTCTTTGGCCTATTTTTCTTACAATGGTCTTTTAACCATTGCAATAAAGCGCTTGGTTCCCAGCAAGCTCGCATTGTACTCTTGTCCTAATAAGTAATATGCCTTCCACGGCATGATTAGAGAAAGAATGTTCATCACGCCATGTGAACATTTTTTTTACTATAAGCTTTGTCTTATTAATTGAAATAGAAACTTGTATTGTACCAAAAATTGTTTAAGATTATTGATGAAATATGGGTATAAGACAGATATGAACTGTCATTTTTTTTTTCTTTTTCACTAGTTACGTCTGGTACTTTATTAGTATTTGATATACTTACGATGGTATCAACGGATCCGTACGCAATTTGTCATTGGAAAAATCATATTCTGTCTGCAATTTGTCCGTAATTGAGATGAGATGATGAGATCCCAGATTTCAGAAATCGAAAATTCTTGTTGTCTGGCTGTTAGTATAAGCTTATTTTCATTGGCTTATTGCCAGTTTGCTACAAGGCAATTGGCTGGCTTGTAGGAAAATGTCTGAGCTTATAGTTTAGACAGGCAAGCGTCTTCTTGGCTGCTTGCAGGAGAATGTGACATGAACAAGAAGTATGGGTAATTTAACCATGTAAACGGTTTAATTTGGACAGCTACTAGTACAATTTCTAATTATTTTTTCTTTGAAAACACCGGAAAGTAGATTCTTGATCGAATCGGGGAAAAAAGAAATACATAAAGTAATGTTAAGTAACTGAACCAAACTTTTAAATTGGGCTCTACCTAGCGAAAGTACACATGCTTCATCCGTTTCGTCCTGTTAAAACAGTTTATTCCTTCCCTGAACTTGAGACTGAGAGGATTTTCTATTTAGGCATATCAAATAAAGCACAAAATTTTGTCCTGTTAAACAGTTTATCCCTTCTCTGTACTTGAGACTAAGGAGTATTTCAATTTTAGGCATAAAAGGTAAAACACAAAAGTCTTTTTTGACCCAAAGTCCAAGTATTTAAAGATACAAAGACATGACTGGCATGTACATATCATAGATAAATTTTGAATTTATAAATAATTTTTTTTATGATAGAAAAAAACGTTACACTATTAAATTATTTGGTGACAAGTACAGACCCCTTTATTTGTTTGAAAGTTTTAGTTTTATAAAGGTAAAGTATATGATTATATCTAAAATTATAATTTTTCTCTCATTAGAAACGCGATACAAATAAATAACTCATAATCTTTAATTTTTTAATCCTTTCTTACTATTTTACCCACATATTTAAGTTAATTTAGGATACGAAAGAGATCTGAGTGGATTCGAACCACCAACCTCTCAAAGCCCAATTCGGATTTGAGCGCTCTGCCTTTTTTGAGCTTACAGATCTTTCCGATAACAACAAGAACGAACCTAAACGGACCATGCAGCGGTTATAAGTGAAACTTCCTTTCACTGACGCGTCGTACACTTCAAACGACACTCCCCAGTCAAAACAGAAATTACTTTACCCAACATAGTCTCTTTAAATTTTCTTTTTTGGGCCAAAAAAATATTATAGTATTATTCTTCTTCTTTTTAACAACTATACACCGCCGAGCGCTTTATACAGATTAAAAAAATTGCAACAGATGTTAAGTCACAGAGGTAAAAGACTTTAAACTGATTGTAGAAATGCACTGAAAAGAGAAGGAAGCCTCAATTTCTCACCTCAAATGTTTGCATGCCCAAAGTAGTGACGGTAAAAACAAATAGAGAACTAATTGAAATACAAATCACGAACAAGTAACTTCTTATCTAAAGAAGTGATGAAACAAGAAGCAAAATAAATCTTGTGAAACAAATAAACTCAACAAAGACAACAAAATTTACGTGGAAAACCCCTTATTATCAAGGGGAAAAACCACGGGACCGTAGTCCGCTTAAAAACTTTTACCATTTAAAGTTGGATGTACAAATCTGACATGTACCTTGAAAAGAGCAATTTCCCAGAAAATTGGAAACAGCTGATCCTCAAACCTCAACTTGGAGATTGGATCAGTCCTTATCTCCTTGCAGGTGAAGCCAATCACCTTAGGAGGCCTAAGAAGCTGCTGCAATTAATTTAGTTATCAGGAGACTCCAAATCTGTCATTCTTTAACTTGCATGATGCAAGATGAAACCTGGAAAGTTGAACTTGGCTTAACAAATTCTTCACTCCACAAACCTTGGAATAATCCTCATGGAGAACATGCCCGCTCAAGATGCACAACATGGTTGAAATCCAAAAGATTCTTCCAACACACAATCACACTTACAGAAAATCTTCCAACAAAACGTTATTGGAACACAATATAACAGTGGAGCCCAACAAAGGGCTTCAAGAACAATAGAGCCGAGCACAAGCAAATACACTATCACATCATACAATATAGCATCCACCTACTACAACTGTAAGATAGAAAATCACAATTCACAATACAATAATAGCACAATAGTTCGGATAATACTAGATTAAAGTAATAAGGCAAGATAAATAATAATAGTGGAGAGAAGGAAAGCCATTTCCAGAGGATTTGAATTTTACCAATGAAGATATTAATAGAAGTGGAAATGTAAAGTCAGGTCTGAGAATAATGAGTAGATTAGTCTGATCAGATGCCCAAATTTGAGACACTTTGAATGAAGACTCTGTGTTGGCCAAATAATGTACTTTGATAGAATGGTTTGTGGTGAAACGGTATTGCAAGCATACATGTTTAAAACTGCAATTAAAAGGAAAGCAGCACTATTTGCATGAACAGCAGCAATTATTGGAACAGACATCATATACCGATTCATGTAATTGCAAATGCTGATTTGTGCCAAGGTCATCAGAAGTGCGCAGATACAGAAAACTGCCAATCACATACTATTCCCTCCAGTCGGGCAAATATGTCATACAAGTTGTCAGCTAGATTTTAATTTAATGACTGCACCACCAGTATATCAAAGCAAATTCAGGAGCATCATTATCTTCTATATATCCTAGAAAAGGCTTCTGAAAACATTTTGGTAAAGTTTGCAATCAATTAGAAAATGCTGTTTAACCTATAACAGATAATGCATTTGTGGCAAAAATCAGGAAAAACCATTGGCAATTTTGCACACCAAAGACGGTGACAAATCTAAAGCTCGACACTTTTTAGTTAGAAATTATCAAAAACAAGCCATCACATTATGTTAGTAGGTGATCCTACAATCCTTTTTAGATCAAACAAGACAAAAACCATCAAACATGCCTATCTTTACAAAACAAAACTGCTAGAAAATTGCTATTGTTTATCAAAAAGGGAGATATATATGCAGCATGACCAACTTTAAGAACTAATCCATGTTAATGGGTTAGATTCATAGAGGCTATCAGTAGCTAATGTGAGGTATAGAGCTTACAAGCCTTCTTTTCCTTAAATTCTAATGCATATCAGTTCACATATGAGCTATTAGTAGCATATGCGAGGAATATAAATTACAAAACATATGAGCTATCAGTAGCAAATGTAAGGAATATAGCTTACAAGCCTTCTTTTCCTTACGTTCTAATGCATATTAGTTCAGAGGATAAACGATTGCCGCTAGCCTAAACAGTGCATGTTGAGAGCGAATTTGGATAAACTGACTGTTCCATCGAGATTTCATGCAATTAAACTATAAGGCGAATTCCAGTAAAAATGATGTAAAATATACCTTGGGCTTCCCGATTTGAAACTGGTAGATCAATGCCTTTGGTGAGCATAAGCTTTTCCGATGACGACGTGGATCGTGAATCAAACACGTATGGTGCAGATAAATATTGGGAAAAAGAAAAGACAAAAACAAAGACAACGCACACCAGAGGGGAGAACCCGGGCAATTCCCGTGAGATCTCCCCTCGAAACACAAAAAGATATAAATTTTATTAAGTTTGGGTGACCTGCCATGCAAGCGCACCTGCCATGGCAAAGGTCGGGATGGACAAAGATAGATCAGGACTCAGCCCTCAGCAAACAAGACCTCTTTGCCCCGATATCTTACACATCCATTCGACTTACAAAACACGTTATCCCACTTCGCTATTCACGCGTCGCCTCGATTCATCATCCACCATATATCAGAGAAAATAACCTCCAGCCGCCTCAGATCAATCAACCAACAAATCTCCACCGTCAGATGTTGGTTTCTGATACAAAACGTTCGACCAACCCTTTTCCCTGCAGAAAACAAACACGCAAATAAATCTTCTTTTTATTTATAAATATAAATGGAAAATCAACCCAAAAAACAAAAACTTACACAGCAAGAGGCTTTGGTTTATGCAGACGGCAGGTTAAGCCGTAGATCCAACCGATCAGATCTCCTCAACATCAGAAACCAAATCTGGTATAGAAAGGCAGATCATGATGCGATCTAACGATCTCTGGAAGCAGAATCCCTGCAGGAGCAACCATGGGGAATAGATCTGCGTAACACCCAACTATGAGGGAAAAAATTGAAGGAACGGCTAGCTCTCCAAGAACCCAGATTCCAATGATCCTTTTCAATGAAAGCCAAATCTTATAGGGTTATCGGGAATGAACGGCAGGAAACAAAAAATTGTCAAAAAGATGGACGGCTAACACGACTCCACGTGGCTAAGTGTTTGCTAATAATGAAGAAAGTTCTGAACTTCCAGAAAAAAAGCCCAAATCATGCATCTTCAATTAAAGCCCAAAATAACTTTACGCTCCAAAGCCCAAGGATGGAGCTTCTCTACTGTATCCAAAATATGGGCTCAAAATGGGCTGTGTTCTATTTGGGATTGGGCTTGAAAATATTTGGGATTCAATCCCAAGATACATAAAGGATGAATGAAACCTAATACTTTTGGATAGAAAAATTATTAGAAGATAAGAGGTTTAGATTTAAAATTATGATGTATTTAAGATACTAAACGAGTTAAAATTGCTTAATTTATATAATTAATTGGATTACAGTGTCGGCCTAAATAATTAATTAATAATATTTAAACAAAATGTCAATTGTATCATGTCATATAAACTTAATTTGATTTGTTTAATAAGTGTGTTAATTATATTGTATCTTCTTGTTGATTTCTCACCCAAGTGTGTATCGTTAACAAGTAATATAGTACTGAATAGAGTATCATTCCCATGAATAATTGTTTTAATTCTTACTATTAACTACTAAAATTATAACACTCTAATATTATCCAAATAATTAAAATTATAATTAAAACTAATAAACTAAAAATAAAATTAATCTAAAATCTATTAACAAATTTACTTTATTAAATTCGAGTGACTATCAAACTTAAGATTATGCAGTCCCTTAATGCTTCATCTAATTATTATATCTCTCTCTTAACTTAGTTTAATGGATTAAATTGTTAATTTAGAATCGTAAAATATTTACAAGTATCTATCAAGTTTCACATAAAAATACCTCTCCTAATTAATTTGCTATATGTCTATACAAATTAAATTGAAAAAAGATTTATTAAGTTCGTACTCTAATTTTGACTACGTATAGCTTATAAGTGTATGCCTACCCTATATGCAAATTAAATCATCTAATCAATTAAGTGCATTTGATTATACGCTATTCTATTCAAGGTCTACCTAAATCTCCTTTGTCAAGGTTTAACTTATGTTTCCAATTCAATCTAATTGATGATCAGGTAATTAAAAGCATTAAAGACAAAATAAATAACTTAAATCCATTAAATATAAGGAAAAAAGAGATAAATAATTTAGACTATATATTGAGTCTCATCATAATCTTAGATAAAAAGTTTAGTTTTTCATCAAATCATGCATCATCATTAAAATTTAAATATTAAAAACAAAAATAAGAAATTAAGAGAATAAAAAAGATAGAAAAACTCAAGAATTATATTCTTGATCTCCAAATCTCATTGAATTCTTCAAATTGTTATTAACTTCAATGACTCTGTGGCTTGAATTTCAGCTGTCAATCTGATGTTTCATTTTCTTTTTTTCTTTTTAAAAATCCTTCGAAATGTTGTTTTTATAAATTTTGAAACTAGGTCAAGTTAGGTGAAGAAAAAAGTTAATTTCAGTTGGAATTTCTTCATCAAACTATGTGGGCTGCAACCTTACCCAATTAATTAACATAAATTGTAATTGCTCTAGGATTGATCTAGTATATTAAATTCAACAAGATTTTTGACCACTTTTCAGGCCAAACTAAACAAAATGATAAACATAAAAGTTATAGATTTTTCTCTTATCTTTCCAATGGTCTAAGAATCACTTCATTTGGTTCTATGTAGAGAGAGTTATGGTTGAAATACTAAAATATATACTATACAAGTCTATACCTTAAAATTGCTCTCTTTCTTTCATTAAAATTCTTTTTTCATCAAACACTTATAAAAACTCAAATAAATCAGTAACAATCTATTTTAATCACACTAACACTAAATTAAGTATGAAATTAACTAAGATTAGATTGATTCACATAAAATAACTAATTTAAAATAATTAAATAAAATTTACTAATTTTTAGACATTACTACAGAAATTAAGCTAAATTTTTATCAAAATTAAACTCAAATAACTCTATATCATAAAATTATCATATCTTATAATATATTTATTAATATATATATGTATAATTTTAAATCTTTGATATGTTTAATTAATCGTGTTATATTTATATTTAATCGTATAACTATTAATATCTTATTTTTATATGATACAATTAAAACATGTGAACCCGGATGATTAGATCTAAAATACATATAGCTTCAAATCAATAATCTTACGTTTTTTTACCATTTGAATCAAGTTCATGCAACAAATTGCATCCACTCATCAGGTGTCTGTTATATACGAGGCAAAGTTTGAAATTAAACTTAATATAATGATTTATTAATTGGAATTAAATAGCTATGGAAAGCTTGCATAAATGGGTGGAGGAGAATGACACTAGATTAGGCCCGCCCACGCCAATCCATTGTATCAAATAGACCCAACATAGCTGGTTGGACTACTTCTTCGACCAATAAAACGTGGATCCGAATGGCGAAAAATAGTCATTGACCTCTTGCTCAACGTACTAGCTTGGACTTTAGTCAGCGCGTGGTCAGTTCAACAAAGTAACGTTCAACACTGACCATCACTATTGCGTTTAAGCACTCAGCTATTCGTAATGTTGAACGTCAAAACGGTTAGAGGATGACCAAATCGTAACCTAGATGTACGCATGCATGCATGCAATTATTGAGAAGCATTGCATTATGGTTTGTAGGTCATCAGCTAAGACTTAAATCGTGATGGAAATTAATTGGTAAGGATGGTGATACAGATAAGTTAGGAATTGTTTGACAACAATATTATTTGTAAACGTAATAGCTCGTTTTACGTGATAATTTAGTATTATTCATTTCAAGTGAAGAATTTATTAAATTATTTATTAATGATATGTATTTGTCAAATGGTTTTTTGAATTACATTTATCATACGTTTAATTTGATTATGGAAAAGTTCAAGTGATGAGTCAAATTAATTAATTATTAAAATTAAATTTTTACTCACACGGATTAGTTTAGTTGATGAGAAGAAAGAGTTCTCCTTTTTTGTCAATCAAGATTTAATCGTTATAAGAACATTTCAAAAATATAATCCTAAAATGTATTAAGTTGATACCAAGAAGGAATGCGTCATTAGGTTTAGGTAAAATTTAGAAATAAATCTGATTTTATTATAAAAAAATAAAATTTCCACTTAATTAGTATTTTTTTTACATTCATATATAGAGTCTCATTCATTAGGAAAATCAATTGATCAGTCCATCAGCTACGGGAACTAACCGTAGAACCTTGAAAGTAATATTCCAAAGAGAAATAGATGTCTTGAATTTTGATCTTCTTCCTTTTGTTGAGATATGACTAGCTGGGCAACACTACCACAAAGTCAGTCAATTAGAATTAGACGCAGCTTTGACATTAAACAAACCCTGCTCTACTCTTTTCACTTGACAAGCAAAATAGGGTGGGTATTTTTTCCAATTATTTGCTTGCAAAACAAGTGTAATTCTCTCTTTTGCATAATCCTATATATAGAATTAAATTCTTGCATAATATAGGCTGAATTGAAGTAATCAATAGCTAAGCCACTAGATAATAGAAAAGCTCAAAGTTGATTTAAAAATCACCCTATTCCACCCAGTCTAACATGTTTAACGCACATGTTTAATTGACCATTTACGTGTTCTCCGAGTTTGATATGCAGCTATAGTTGACGAAACTAGCCATGGTGAAATTGAAGACAGCATTTGCTTTAACTGGGTTTGGTCAACCAAAAAAAGGAACAAAAATCAGGCTTAGCACAGATCTGACGCCATCAAATTCAAAGGCCAAAATAGTGGTCAAAGAAAATGAGCATTTCGTATATAAGTAAATTGTCCAGTAGTAAAACTCCAAACCTTGAAAGATCCCGACACCCCATTAAAAATTGTTGTCTTGTCTTCTCCATTAATTGCTACAAATAGTCAGATAAAAGAACTAGCCCTTCGAGAGAAGACCCATTTATTTCTTCCAAGGTGGATGAGGAGATGACTTTGACTATTTAGGATAAAAGAATAGGGGATGAATGAATCGTGCTTTCTTGGCCTGGGGTGAGAAGTCCATTAATCAATTGATTCATTCAAACTTCAAAAGAATTAAGCACTTTGTTAATGTTGAATTTTTTGCCAAATCCACTGTTGATTGTTATCTTTTCTGTCGCGTTAATTAGTTTGGTTTCAACGAAACTCTTATGATTCTCTACGGGTGTGTTTAAGGCCATGTTCCTTTCCCAAATTCAAAGCGGATCACATGGCCCTGAACTTTACATTCCTTTTAATATACCTCCACTCTTTTCCCTTCTCGATATATTTTATTCTTAATTGAAAAGGGTGGGAACCGGTTGTCTTGTTGCGCCAAAGGGTAGGAAACAATGATATGGAAACTTTTAAGCGTAGTAATTTAAATATCTCATTGAGAATGCATATATATAGATAGTACTTATAAGACTTGACATTTAGGATTCAAATTTTGCTGAATTAATGACAATTAAAATCACTCTTCAATTTTTCAATACATCATCATGGGTGGAATTATTATGGAATCAAATTCTAAGGCCTAATTTTTTTAAGTATGTAATAAACATGAGAGATTTTGAGATAAATTGAGTGTTTTCAACAAAATTAATCATCTTTGAATATCAATCGGGAATATAATGTTTAGGTGCATTCTAAAAGAAAATAATGCATTTTAGCCAAACTTGGAATGGACAGGTAGAAAATGTTTATATCTACAATAAACGTTAATTGGTCGAAATTTATTCAAAATTCAAAAGTTATGAAATTTATTCATTATCTTTTGATAAGAGAATTTTTTTATTAAAAAAAATTATTCATTGCATGATGAAGAGTTGGTGATTCGAAATCATTAATGTGTGTGAATAGTCATGTCCTGTGAACATTTTCAATGATGCCAATAAATCCTTTTCTATTTTTGCCAAAAACAGTTAAAGGGGTAGACTGTTACCCCTTAACTCGTACCTTCTAGCTATCTTACCAGCATTTGATTAGCATGTTCCAGGAGACAATCAAGTCAAGAATTCTGAATCTTAAGCATCGGCGACAAATCCGCCATAATATTTTTGATTTCGAAACTTTTTTCATAACCTTTTAAGGTGAACTCAACATTGTCAAACCTCCACACACCGGTCATAATTGTATAGTAGTATTCCCTCATACTAGGAGAAGAAGTATTTTTCCACTTAGATATCTTTGCATATATCATTGTGTCTTCACCAACCAAATGCAACAAATACCCTTTATCGATCTTTTGCCAACTTTTCAACCCACACCCAAAATTGTCAAAGCCAGGTATTACTGCAATTCGAATTAGGTTTATACTCATTGTCAATGAGTCTTTCCCTTTATGTAGTTAAAGAAATATATATATATATATATATTGTAAGATAACAATCACATGCAAGTTTTGCCAATTCAAATTTATAAAATATTTTGTAGTCAAAACCACAAACCAAGAGTTTTTCTTCAATAACAAATTAAACAAATGGAGATGAGGATTAGAAACGAGTATGACTGTGGATTTTTTTATATACAATAATTTACACTATGAATGTAGAACTAGAACTTAGAAGAATGGAATAATATATAACGATTAACAAAGACTACAAACTCAATCGATTTATTAGCTCTTAGATCACGTACACATTACAATATAATGACGAAGGTGACAAAGAATATAAGAAATAGTATTAATAACAATGATTAAAATGGTCGAAAGAAAGGAATAACAATGAAAATCATCTTGTTTTTAAGTCAATGTATAATTGAAAAATATATGATATGCATTTTAAAAAAAATTTCAACAAATTTGATTTTGTCAGGAAAAATGTATTAATTTTTTATTTTCGTATATCCCAACCAAATTTCTAAGTGAAAGAGATGTGCAACTTTAGTAGGAGATGATTATTTATAAGTAGAAATTTTAAATTATTTAAATTGGATGAGAGTTAACTCTTTTTATAAACATTGAGTTCTAATTATAGTGTAGTGGGCTTTTACATACTGAAAAAGGTAAATGAATAAATTGATTCAACGTGAGCAATAATGATAGACATCTCAAATATGTAATAAAATTTTCTTCTGCATACTTCAAACCTTTAGCGTGAATATGCAAGTAAACTCTTTTGTTGCCTTAGCAGTTGGCATGCGTGTATAATGAGGCCCAGTCACCGTCATTAACTACTTTTGTTTGAATTCAACTAAATTTAAAACCCATTATTTCAAACTTGAGCTTTCATCCCCCAAAAGAAAAGAAAACCCTTAACCCGAGCTTAATCAATTTCGTTGACATACTAAAAGAAAACTCTTCTATAAAATGATTAATAACATATTCAGGATTTATAATCACACTCTGATAATATATCAATCACAACAATACAACTCAACTTGAAAAAGTTTCGAAATTAGGAAGTAGAGGAAGAACTGATGTATGTAAAAAAGTTATAAAACAACGTTTGCTCCTTATTTGAGTATTTTCACTGTATGTGATATATATTTATTAAGAAATCCGTAATAAATAAAGAAATAAATGAAAGTTTATTAAATTTGAGTTATATGATGAAAATAATTCTCTTATATCTCATAAATTGTAATTTTTTTTTTACGAAATAAATGATTACGAAATAAAAACGTTATCTGGAGAGAAAAAGACAGACAAATTTTTCAAGCAAAATGCAAGTGGGGTCAAAAATTGCGGTACACTTGCTGATGGTGACATGATGAGATGCAAGTAGCGCTTTTTTTGTTGAAACATCACAATCTAAATTTAGTTAACGGCAAACCTCAATAACTGCTTGTCTGCATGTAACCTTCCTTATAACTTTCCGGCATCAATTCAATTCATCATTTCGTTTGTTCATAAGCGGGTGACCGCCGGGTTTGTGAGCGTCGTCCGACTGAGATTGAGTTTTGGGCAGTACATTCTAATTCTGATTCGGGTCAATTCGAGATATTATTAATATTTTTTAAATATAAAAAACTTTTTTACGCTATTTTAATAATAATAAAATTTAAACAAATTTAAGTAAGTAAATCAAATTGATGTCCAGACTTAATTTTTAGAACTGCCAATGGATCTAGTTTGTAATATCATTACTCATGGATACTTTTATTTGTCATGTAATTAAGTGATGTCTAGTATTTTACAAGATAATGTGATTATGTGTAATATAATTGTAACAGTATTTAGTATGTAAATAAAATAATGATTAAAATATATGGATGATAACATTACAGTGTTTGGTTTATACGTACTTTATTGATAATGTAATGTTAATTTTTAAAATTATTCATATTTATTAAAATATAAATTTAATAAATTTATATTTTTTGTTAATTTTTTAAATATTATATTAAATATATTTTTAAGGTTGTATATTTAATTTTTATTTTTAATATAATTTTTTATATTATATATTTTAATTTAATTATTTTTTTAAAATAATATAAATTTTATTACAGTCACCATGACTAATAAGAATAAAAAAAACATCTCTCAAAATTTATATAAAAAAAAAATTATAACACTGTAAAATATTTTTAATAAAATAACAAAATTGAAGGCTAAAAATATCTTTAAAAATATCGTAGAGTACAATGCAATCTGATTGCATTGGTTGTGAACTGTAATCACATTACATCTATTACGATAGTGTTTGATATAAGAGAAGTAGGAGTACATTCCCTAAAATATATCTAACTAAATTACATTACAGTATTTGTTTTGCAATAGACTACAGCAATGCAAGATGACAATGTAATCACATTATATTACACTCTGTAAATATATTTTTACCTTTCAACTTTATTACAATAAAAACATTTTGTAATGTTATAATTAAAAGAAAAATATTAAAGTATAATATATAATATAAGAATTAGAAATAAAATAAAATATAAGAAATTAAAATTTATATAATATAGGTGAAAGAAATTAAAATAAAATATATAATATAAAAATTTATATTAAAGAAATAAAAATAAAAAATATAAAATTGTAATAAAAAATGAAAATAAAATGTATGACATTAAAATATATTTAAGAGATGATATAATATATAAATTAACAATAAAAAATATAAGCATATTAAATTTGTATTTTAATAAATAAAGATAATTTTGAAAATAAAAATTACATTTTCAACAAAGTACTTGTAAACTAAAAGCTGCAATGTTATATTCTCTGCATTTTAATATTTATTTTGTTTGTATACTAAACACTGTAATATTATTTTTCTTGCAATCACATTACCTGCAATCACATTGTATTATAAAGTACCAAATAACATTTTAACTGCAATGTGATTGCATTACAATTTTATATCGTAGTAGTTAGTTGTAAAACAAACATTGCAATATACGTAATTTAATTAGACACGTTACAAGAAATTTGCTCCACTTCTATAGTATCAAATGCTACCTTAATTTTTTTTTTTAAAAATACTACCTTAAATTGTTACTCTTAATTTTTGCAACTTTTTTTTAAAAATCTCTTATATTTTTTTTTATCAAAAACAAACTTAAATTGTTTTAATATATACAAATTTAGTGAAATGATAACATCATATGTAAAACACCTTTGATTTATTCTATTTATCTCTTTGTAAATATATTCTTATTACTTTTAAAAAATATATCTGACTTGGAGAACTAATTAACGTTTGGTGCTCTATACATGGTTTTCTTTTTAGCTGGGGGAGAAAAATATATCCAAATAGAATTGTTTCATACACAAAATATATACTTTTAATTATTCAAAAAAATATTAATCCATATATGTTTTTCACTTGTCCTTTCAAGTATTAAAAATAATAGAGCTAATAATTACAAAATGTAAATATTATATAGTTTATGTCAAAATTAAATAAAAAGGATTAACTTAGTGATCATAATTTCGAAAAGAAACCAATTTATGGACTGATTTCATATGTTCGCATAGATTCAATTTGTTAGGCAAGCCAAATTCATCAAGATTCATACATTCTCAATTGTGGAAACAAAATCATTTTATTTAAGTAAATTGAAATTGAATTCAGTCAGAATCCTTTGCCTAATTCTAATAACAAATTCAAACAATATAATATATAGTTTATATACAACCCAAAAAATTTCCCCACCTTTCATAAAATATCCATGTCATCCAATAACCGCCAATTGATACTAACACTTCCCGTCATATAACCATGACTTCGGGAAACCCTAACGACGGGTATGGCGATAACGGCGGCACGTTAAAAATTCCCTTCACGTCAGTATCCCAATCCAAAAGCGACGCCCAATTTGACGGCGTCAAAGGCACATCACCGTTATCTCTCGCCTTTGTGACGTCATCATTTTCTCTCTTCACCGCCTTTACTCGTCTCTCTTCTCCTTCGCTATCGTCTCTGCACCGTTTCCTTTCTCCGTCCACGTCGCGTGCAACCAACCTCCCGGCTTCAAGAGGGAAGTTGAGAATCGCTTTGGAGCCACGTAGCTTAAACGCTGCTCGGTCGTAAGCCTTTGCGGCATCAATAGCCGTGTCAAAGGTTCCTAACCAGATCCGAGACCCTCTTCGGGTCGGATCTCGGATCTCTGCCGCGAACTTCCCCCATGGCCTTTGTCGGACTCCTCTATAATGCTTCCTGTCTTCGGAATTTGAATTCTTGGGCTCTACCTGAGCTAAATCCGGTTTTCCGAAGTGGATCCACTCAACTTTATTGGGTAACGAGATTTTTAGCGACGGTTTTCGATTCTGAGAGCTTGAATTCAAAGAAGCTTGAGGGTTTGTCGGTGAAAGTGCGACGATTTGAGGTTTTACTTCAAATTCGAAAGCACAGGCGCTCGAAGAGAGGGACTTGGGTGTCATGAGATCGACAATTTGAGGTTTCGACTCGATTTCGAAAACATCACTTCCGTTTGGCTTGAAACCAGGGAAATGAGGAGAGAATTTAAAGAAATCATCATCGTCGAGGCAGTTAAAATTGGATACTGTAAGAGAGGAATCAGAGCTCGAAGTCTGCAAGTAAAGAGACTCAGATTGAGAGGTAGAAACCTCAGGTTTCGCCTCAGTTATCCATTGATTTTCACAGGAAAAAGAACTTCCCAATCCCACGGGAGAAAATTCATCAAGCAAATATTGTTTGATATATTGAAGCGCGCATGATACTTCACTGCTTGTTTCCATAACCCAATAATTCGAAAGAACAAAAGAATTAAAGAAATTTCAGAGAGCTCAAAAAGAAGAAGCGAGGATTTTTGAATTTGTTGAATTTGAATTGAAGAAGAGAGGATTTTCAAATTTTGCTTGAGAGTGGAAGGTGAGAGTGGAAAGGTATTTATAAGGTATAAGAAGGTTTGAATTTGATGACTTTTCAAACTTTTCAACCGAGCTTCGACGATGGAAGCCGGAAGTAACGTGCTTTCACTGTTCAACAGGTGTTTGTACTCAGTTGAATATTTCACCCGTCGGATTCATAGAAAATGGTTAAGTCAAATTGATCAGGATCGGACGGCTGGTGGTTGGGGCAAATTAATTTGCGACCTTTATGTTTTGTCCCTTTTGGTGCTTTCTCGTTGCCTGCATTTCTTGGCTGGTTCCCAAAAAGTTTCTGCTCTGGATTAAATGTTTGAGAAAATTGAGAAATGATTATTTGAGTGATGAATCCTTATCTACTACTGCATTATCTATGTACTGAGGTATGTTTCAATAGTTATATTGAAGAAATATTAATAAATTGAATGATAAATAATATAATAAATGGACATACGACAACCTTTTAATTTTGTTTGTAAAATCTAAAAGCTTCACGATTGGTGTATAAATTGATGATATCCCTTTTAAGTAATGAAAATGGTGGCTTAGACAAAGGGTTGAGAGGTAAAAGACAAAATGCTTAGATTGATGATTTGGTCAGCTGATTCAGCGGTGATCATGGATTAAGATAGAAGCTAATTAAATCATGTTTACTTTCTCGAATGTTAGAAATTAATTGTTGCCATCTTACGTGCAAGCAAAGAAGAAGGTTTTCAGGTCATTGGAAATGGAATCTTTCTTCTTGTGGTTTAAGTATATATGCATTGGGGTTATGGTGTGTACGGGATCTTTTTGATCCGGTCGAAATGGTGTGTGAACATAAGGTTATCCTGCATCTCCGCCATGTTAAATGCTGATATGTTCAAATTCAAACACCCAGGTATTTTAATTAGAACTGAAACTTTTAGCATACTTTTCCCTTTCCTTTAGCTTTGAGGGAAAAAAACCAAAGGAGTTTTGTTCTTGATCGTTTTCTTGCTTTAAATATTCATCCGGAAAGTAGTGTATAAGGATTAAATATGATGGCCGGGCAAGCTTGGTAATAACATATTGAGAATTAAGTAATCAAGCTCTCACTCGCGTAATCAAATTCTATTCAAGTAAAATATAACAAAAGACAAGAAGGCTTTCCTTTTCTTTTTTCTTTCTTTTATTGCTAGGTCTGCATGCAATAATTTTCTTTTCCTTTCTTCGTTCTTTATTGTTTTCTTTTGGCTAGGTCATCCATACATCAATGCTTGTTTTTGATGCCAATCTGATGCAATTAAAGATTGATGGAGCAGTATGGCCAATGAATGAATGTTTAGGTGAGAAGTAGTCAATTTGCATAGTTGTATTACTGGTTCCTTATCTCAAGTCTCCACCCCGGCCTCAGACTCTCAACCACTCTAATTGTTTTTATAAGATAGAAGCAAATTTCGGAAACGGCATGAGAGCACTTTTTTAAACCTAACGAAAGCAAGTGGAGTTGAAGCTTAAACCAAATCAAAGACTTATACTTTACCACTTCTTAGCTTAAATAGTGAAATCACTGCATTGAAATGATCATGATGGTTTAGTCATTGCTTAAAGGCTTCACAGAGTAACACTCATAGGTTATGTTTGGTTAATGAAATAAATAAAAATAAAATAGAATAATTATGATGTGAAAATAGAATACGATAAGAATAGAATAATATACTTATTATTTAGTTTAGTCAAGAATAATTATTATAACTTGTTGTAATATTTGGTAGGTAAAAAAAACTTGAGAATAAAAAAAATAGAGAATAAAAAGAAAAAGAACCTTTTATTATATATATAATTATTTATTTTTATTTTATATTATTTTTAAATATTAATAATTTATAATTTATTTAAAATATTAATAATTGATAATTTAAAAATTAATATTTTATTTATAATTTAAATATAATTATGATTAAAACATAAATAATTTTAATCAATTTTTAAATTTAAAATATATTTTATAATATATTATTAAAAATTTAAACTTTCTTCTTTTTTAAAATAATATTAATAATTGATAATTTAAATATTAATATTTTATTTATAATTGAAATGTTGTTATGATTAAAATATAATTAATTTTAATTAATTTTGAAAATTAAAATATTATTTTTATGACATATAATTAAAAATTAAAAATTTTTCTTTTTATAATAATACTAATAATTGATAATTTAAATATTAATATTTTATTTATAATTTAAATATTATTATGATTCAAATATTAATTATTTTAATTATTTTTTATAATATATAATCTGTAATTTTTAAACTTATAAAGGATATTTTGATTTTTATAATTTTTGAAGGCTATTCCTTACCCAAGGAATAGCTAATACCATGGGAGATGTTGATATTAGTTATTCCTTAGTTTTAACTTATTTTGGGGAATAGCCATTCTAGACGAAGGCTATTCTTTGGAGCACGTGGGAACTAAACAAAGAAACATTTGTTCTCTAGGAATATATATGATTGGTTGCATGCATATTGATAAAATCTCGAAGCATGTATCTAGTCTTAATTTAAGTTTGAAAGATGCGTTTCTCCCTTTGTTTAAAACTTGAGGCGTTTTCATCAATCATAAGTTACTCCTTTTAAATTACTTGGTACAAAATCAAGATTAGATGGGGACATAATTTATTATACATTCCTTGTTCTATTTTGGTGCTAAAAGAACGGGTATAATTCCTTTCGAACAGAAAAGAAAAAAATGGGTATAATTATCTGTTCTGCATAGACTCAGGCTGAAGCGTTGTAAGCTATGAATATATGATCATGGCAAGTCAGGGTGCACAAATTCCAAAGGGAAAATTTCCTGGAGAATTGGCTTTTAACAGTTAGCTGATTCAATGGTATATTTTCTTCTTTTAATTCGATGCATTAAACCTTGGAAATTATTTTATTTGTTTAACTTGGGAAATTAATTTGCTCAAAAGTTTGATGAGATCTAAACTGATCAAATGCGTGCTTTGCCTTCTTTGACTTGGTTAGAGGAAGTTTCTGTCATTGTTATTGCTCTATTAAGACAATATTAATATGGTAGGCCATAGAAGTAGCTTTTTCTGTCCTTGAATGTAAATCCTCATTTCAAGTGAGCAGTTAAATGTATCAGGTTTCTTACTAGGTCAACACTACTGTTTAAACTAGATTTCTTAGGTCTAAAATCCTCTTTCAAATGTATACTTTTTTAGGACAAACTTACTTAAACTGTAAAACAAGAAAAGAAGGTTATGCAATATCTTGTACTCTTATCTTTTATGCTGTATATAAATTGTCAATCTGACTTCTAATTTTTCTCATTATAAAAGTTTTAATATTACTAATTCAAACCTCAAATATTTACTCCCTTACATTTAGATCCAATTTACCAATTGAATTTAAGTTACGTTCACTATGTTGCAGCTTTGGTTGTTGAACAATAAGTTATTTTTGCATTTTTATATTTTTGTTTATGTAACCTTTCGATTATCTTTTAAATTTTATACAATTATTATTTATTTTTAATTAGTGATGTTATAAAATATTATGTATATACTATTGTTAATTTAACTAAAGTTTGAACGTCAGCCACAAATAATTTTTTTTTTATGTTAAAAACTGAACTTGTTAAAGTGAATGAGTAGTATGTAAAATCTAAAGGCTTCTTGATCTAAAAAGTATATTTTCTTCGTCAATCAGATGCCGGCATAATCCATCATCCTATTTAATTAAATAATGATTAGGATTAAGGCAGGCTTCGATTAAATGTTGCTATGTACTGCTTAATTGAAAGGGAGAAAGAAGAAAACATCACTTTCCTTGGCAGCCCCCTAGTGGGTCTTGAACTCTTTCTTGAATAAATCAGTAGATATGTTACTGCAAGCCATAACAGCAAAGCCTCTGGTGTTGAAACAGACGGTCAAATTTAGGGAATTGACCATCTTTAACGGATTGATTACAATTTGAATACTACTTTTAAAAAAAAGAAATTCAAATCATGTGTTTTT